GTTCCTAGTTGTCCCTCAAACCTCTGAGGTTGTCCCAGCCACCTGCTTTGTTGTTAGTGGCTCCCTGTAGCTGAGGGTGCTCCAAAACCCATCAGTGTCCCAAAGGTGAGAATTGCAATCAGCATCTGGATGCAGGCTAATATAAACTGGACCCTCAGAGAGCAGCTAGGATACTATGTACTTAATCCCCTCTCCAGAGAGACACTGGAAGATGGGCATTTTTGCCTGCTCTCTCTGTGCTAGGCCCAGGATATAGCCAGTAGGAGTGCTCCTGTACCTGTTAAAAACTGCTTTGTGTGCTACAGGATTATGGGACTCAAGAATGCAAGCCCCATTGGTTCTCAGAGCCAGGCAACAGGGGACATCCCTTGAACAGCAGCTCCAAAAGCTGGGATGCCAGACATTTGTACACTCCTTCCAGGGAGATACTGGTGACTTAGTTTTACTGTTGCAGCAGGCTGGAGGGAGGGGACAAGAAAGGCGTCCACCAGTTTCCCAGTCTCTGGTGAGGATTGCAGCCAGCCAGTATGTATATGTTATAATTAGAAGCCTCACCCTCAGATAGCAGGTTTTTAAAAAATTTTTTAATTTAAGTTCTATTTAGTTAACATAAAGTGTATTCTTAGTTTCAGGAGTAGAATTTAGTGATTCATCAACTGCATATTACACCCACTGCTCATTATGTCAAGTGCCCTTCTAATGTCCATCACCCAATTACCCCATCCCCCCCCACCTCCCCTCCAGCAACCCTGAGTTTGTTTCCCTATAGTTAAGAGTCTCTTATGGCTTGCCCCCCGCTCTGTTTTTCTCTTATTTTATTTTTCCTTCCCTTCCCCTATGTTCATCAGATAGCAGCTTTTAAAGTATGCAAATAAACCTCTTTCAGGGAAGACTGGTATATGGGTAGTTTTGCCTATTCCCTCTGTGCTGAGCCCTGGGGGTTTAGCTGGTTAAGAACTGCTTCTTGGCTACAGTCCTGTGGGACTTGTGAATGGAAGCCCTATTGGCTTTTAGAACTAGGTGTTTATGGGCCTCATCCCTCAGGTGGGAGTCTTAAAAGTTGGGGTACTAGATGTGAGGTCCAAACCCTTTGCTCCTCATGGAGAAGCTAGGAGTTGAGAATTTGCTCCCAATTACAGGACACTGTGCCCGGAGCAGGGTTTATGGCAAGAGTGTGCCTCAGCCTTTCCTACCCGTTTCTAGGTGGGTATTCTTTCATTTGCCCGATGTGTATGAGCTGCTTGGCTAGTTTCTAGATCTTTCAGAGAGAACTACTCCATGTGCAGCTGTATATATGATTTGCCTGTGGGAGAAGAGGTGCTCAGGAGCCTTCTATTTCACCATCTTAGTCAACTCTCTTCCATTTTCATTTATTTTCACTATTTCTTCTGTTAATTAAATCCGTATTTCTAGACTGACCATTTCTCAAAAAGGCAAAATACATTGCTTTGTTCCAGGTGTTTGTTTATGGCAGTATCTCCTAGAATCCCTCACCATCCTTTTGCCCCTATCGCCTATATCCTTTGTCTAATTTTACTCTCTTCCTTTGTGGCATTCCTTGAGAAATACATCTTTAGAATAGATTATTATATGGAAGATAATATTTTTGAGTTCTTATATATAGTCCAGAAATATCCTTGTTTTACTGATACTGTTGTTTAGGCAGACACAGATTTTTGAAAAAAATGAAGACTTTTAAAGGTATTGTTTGATTGTTTTGTTTTTTGTTTTTTGTGGGTTTTTTTAGTATTTTATTTATTTTAGAGATAGAGATAGATAGATAGGGGAAAGCCAGGACCAGAGGGAGACGGACAAGCAGACTCCACACTGAGTGCAGAGCCTAACGTGGGGCTCAATCTCACAACCCTGAGATTATGACCTGAGCCGAAATCAAGAGTCAGATGCTTAACCGACTGAGCCACCCAGGTGCCCCTGTTCATTGTTTTCTAACTTCCAGTGCTAAGAAGTCAAATGTTATTCTCAGTCTGGATCCTTTGAATGGGACCAATTTTCTTCTCAAACTTTTAAGATCTTGTCTTTATCCCAATGCTCTAAAATTTTTCAACTTGTCTGCTTTGGTTAGTCTTTCTTCTTTTTTTAACTTTTGCTGAGGATATAGACCTTTTAAATCTGGAAACCCATGTCTTTCAACTCTGAGAAATTACTTACTTTCTAGGATAATTGTGCCCCTTTTCCCCATCTCTCTCTTCTGGAATCTACGACTTAGGTGTTATATTCCCTAGAACAATCAGATTTCCTTATTTTTGCTTATTTTTCATCTATTTGTCCTAGTATTTGTATAACCTGATCTTCCAAAACTTCTATTTAATGTTTTATTCTACGTTCAAAAATAACATCTTTTATGAAAACTTTTAATAGCATCCTGTGCTTATTCCCTATGTGAAATCAGTATTTTCTGAGACATTACTCTTAGACCTTGAGTGTTCTAAATCTCGTGATAGAATGTGCTACCTGAGAAAGATTTTGCCGCTTCAAATATTTTCTTTGTGTAGGGTTTGATCACCCAACAATATAGGCCTTTTAGTTTCCCTCCTGTTAATTAAACTTAGTTTTAAATGGTTTCTTCAAAACTTGTCAAGTATCATAAAGTGTTGGCAAGAAAACAGAAAAAGTAGCGTATGAACATCTGTGGAGCTGAAGTCTAAATAACAGTGAAATAAAAAGACATAGAGATGATTCCAGCAATCAGACTTGGCCCAAGCACAGGGTTTTTGGCAATGGCCTGGAATGTGGAATGCACTGCCCGCTTAAATCAAGGTCCAGATGCTTGTAATTTCTTTTTTCCAGTTTCCATTCACCATAATGGTGTGTGTGTTTTTTTAAGGTCCTCAGGCCTCTGAGCAAGAATTTAATCTTTAGAAAATGTTCCATGCCCAAACATCTTATGTGCATGCAGTTTATTTAAATGAGTGACATGGTTTTATATCAGCATTCTTATTGCAAGTGGTAATGGCACCTTATATCAGTTATTAAGTTTACAAAATGCTTTGATGTGTAGTCTCACTAAAAACCCTGGAAGCTTTAATCCTCATGGCACAGTTTGCAAAAGCAGACAGTAATAGTACAATGATTAAGAGTCTCATTGTTCTTGACCGAAAAATAGGGTAATTCTGATCTTGTAGCATTTGTGTGTGTTGTATTACTTTATATATGTACAATTAATGTGTCTCATATATAGCAAACAGTGGTTGCCTTTGTTGTAATGCTGGAATCTGTCATCTTAGAGATTCTAGCTGTATTGTAATGCAAGGCCTCAGTAGTCAAGAATCTGATTTCCTGGAGCTCCAGAAAGTTGTTACTTCTCCACTTAGTATCCTCTATACCAAATGGAGCTGTCTTCCTTCTGTTTTTCACTCATTTATAAAACGTATTTCCATCTTTTATGTGTTCTGCATTCTTTTTTTTTTTTTTTTTTTAGATTTTATTTATTTATTTGACAGAGAGAGACACAGCGAGAGAGGGAACACAAGCGGGGGAGTGGGAGAGGGAGAAGCAGGCCTCCCGCAGAGCGGAAAGCCCGATGCGGGGCTCGATCCCAGGACCCCGGGATCATGACCTGAGCCGAAGGCAGACGCTTAACGACTGAGCCACCCAGGCGCCCCTATGTGTTCTGCATTCTTATTCAATTACAAACTTCTCAAAAATGGGAATTATCTCCCAAAGGCCTTGTACAAATTTGAGACTCGAAATACTATCAGCTGACTCAAGTTGATTTTACACTCAAAATTTTCCTGCTAAGTCTGCTGTTGAAAAGAACTCTTAGTTTCAGGCAAATGCAAACAGCTTTAATGCCTGAATTTCTTTTTTTTTTTTTAAGATTTTATTTATTTATTTGACAGAGAGAGAACACGGTGAGAGAGGGAACACAAGCAGGGAGGGTGGGAGAGGGAGAAGCAGGCTTCCTGCTGAGCAGGGAGCCCGATGCGGGGCTCGATCCCAGGACCCTGGGACCATGACCCGAGCCGAAGGCAGACGCTTAATGACTGAGCCACCCAGGTGCCCCACTTCCTGAATTTCTTAAGAGGATTTGCTCTGTTTAAGTATCCTATGAATGAAATGTGTCATATTGCATAGCAAGTTAATGCATAATTCTTAGACTCAAACATACTTAGAACGCCAAGGCATCTAGGTTTGTGTTTTTTTAATGTAAAGAGTTACGGCCTAGCCTATATGAATCTGCTTTATACAGGAAAAGTCAGTATTTGTGCCCATGCTCTTCATGGTGATACTACCATTTCCCTATTGTGGAGATGTGGCTTCCTGTGATGGACAGAACACCAGAATTCCAGGAGACAGAAACAGGAAGTCCTTGCAAAGAAATACTTTCATGTGCATCTGTTCCCCTAGCTTAGCCTAGTAGTTCTCAAATGTCAGTGGGTATATGATTCACCTCAGGAACTTGTTATAAATGCCTACTTAGACCCCCTCAAAAAATTGATTCAGTAGCCAAGATGAAGCAAGAAATTTGCGTGTTAAACAAACTTTCCCAAATGCCCCTCTGTCATGTGGTTCTGACATAGGTAGTTCAAGCCCCACAAGGAGAAACAGTGCCTAAGTCTGAGGCCATACCCAGGGGTGGGATAGTAAGAAATAAAAGGCAACCTTTCCATTAAGTAGCTAAGTAGCTAAAACATTTGAAGGAAAGAGAGACTCCTTGTTGCTGGAATTAGCCTGGGTCCACCACATACCTCTTTCCTATATGTTCCTTACCAACTTGCCTAGTTGCTTCTGCTAGTTGGCTGTCTTTTTAAAAACGCCAATCTCTTTTATTAACTTAATCCTTATACAAAACATTAGACAAGGTGTCTGGAAAGTAAAGCGTTTATTTCCCCATGATGCTTCTCAAATATATGTGTACTCCCTGTCCTCATGATTTCAAAATAGAATTAGGAAGGATTTCAGTATAACAAAGGAAGGTTGTTTCCTACCCCTGGAGAATATATTACAATTTTTAAAAAAAAAATTTCTCTCCTACACAGCTACGAATTCCAGGTGAAACCCAAAAACCCACTTGGAGAAGGCCCACCCAGCAACACAGTGGCATTCAATACTGAATCAGGTAATCACATCAACAGTAATGTAAAGGGCCACAGTGTTTTGCCTAAGGAGCTTCTTTGAAACCCAGCTAAATAAACAGTGTATAAATAAAGCGTTTCTTGAATTTTGAAAAAGCAAATTGGTAAAGGTAGCCTTCAGGAAACTACATACATCTTTTCTCATTTCTTTTGATGTCAGAAAAAAAGGCATATCAGTTTAAAAGATAAAAACTGTATCAGTATACTCAAAAAACTAGTGAATGAATGCTCCTCTGTATGCTTAGAATCAATGCCTAGAATCAAAATATCAGACAGTCATAGGACATCCAGAAAGGGAATTCATTTGGTAGTTTTTTTGATGAGCAGCTGTGGAATTTTCTGACCTTGTACACTCCAATTCCTTTAAAAGAGACATCTGTACTCACAGCATTATTTGTGTCATTTTTACACCAACTGCACTTCATGGCATACTGGTGATTTTACCACCAGCAGTTTCTGTCTGAATCTGAAAGAGGAAGCCTTAAAATGGAGTGAGAGCCTGAAGAGCAACAAAGATCCCAAAAGATAAAGCTGAGTACCTGGCAGGAGAGACTGTTCAATGGAAAATAATTCTGAAACAAAATACACTTTCAAATTCAGTCTTTAGCAAGAGTGTACCACTCTGCAGGTCAGACTGAACTGTAAGCATCCATCTTCTTCCCTACACCACTGGCACACTGGGGCTTACTTACCTAATGTAACATCTGACTCTCTGTTTGCTATTTCTCTTAGCGGACCCAAGAGTGAGCGAGCCAATTTCTGGTAAGTACCTATCTCAGCATGAACACAACTACATGCTTTTCTAAACTGATTCAACTAAATAGGCATGGCAGAATTTTGGTCATGATTTCATTTTAGTCCATTTAGTCTTAGAATATCAGCCAGGTGGGAATGCTTACCTAAAACATTCCCTAACATTGAGGAACCTATAATGTTTGGGGAACAAGTTGGGTATTTTGAAACTTGCTTTCCTTCATATGCCAGGGCAGCTCAAAATTTCTGTTAAATAAGTCAAGATATAACATCCTCATGTCCATTTTTAATGACAAGTCACATTAAAGCATCTGTTTAAATTGTATACTATGCTACCAAAAAAACGCATACACAAAAAAGCAAAAACAAAAAAAAACCCAAAAAACTAAATTTGCTCCTAAGGGGACGCCATCTACATCTAGCCCTGCATAGGTTATTTGAAACCTAAACATACTGCTTATTTCACTATTGACAGGAACTTAGGTGGGAGTTTATGTTCAAACTCATACATTACTTTGACTCCAATATTTAGCACTGGAGAAAACCAGGTATCAGCAGATTGACAATGAACTTTGCAAACGGCTTTTTATAAAACATTTAGGACAGCTCTTCGATACCCAAAGTTGAATGCTAAGCTCAAAGCATGTGTTTTCCTTATGCAGCAGGGAGAGATGCCATCTGGACTGAAAGACCCTTTAACTCAGACTCTTACTCAGAATGTAAGGGCAAACAGTATGTCAAACGGACGTGGTATAAAAAATTTGTAGGGGTGCAGCTGTGCAACTCTCTCCGATACAAGATTTATCTGAGCGACTCCCTCACAGGTAAGTAACACCACCTGCTCTGTTTCAAGCCTTCGGGGAATGCTTTACAGTGTTCTGTAACATGGCCTTTTCTGTGGCTAGCTCCAGACACTAAGGTGTGATACAAACACAGTTCTTCCTTCTGAGCAAGATGTTACTGAAATACTTAGCCTGGGATTTGAGGCATGCTATTAGAAATGTAAATAATGAGGGGCGCCTGGGTGGCTCAGTCCATTAAGCGGCTGCTTTCGGCTCAGGTCATGATCCTGGGGTCTTGGGATCGAGCCCCACATCTGGCTCCCTGCTCAGCAGAGAGCCTGTTTCTCCCTCTCCATCTGCCTATCACTCTGCCTACTTGTGCTCTCTCTCTGTCAAATAAATAAATAAAATCTTAAAAAAAAAATGTAAATAATGAAAATGCAATATTGAAACAAAATCATCAAGGAAAACTTGAACGTAAAGGCACCTGCCCCACTGAAGCTCCATTTTGTCACAGCCACCAGGGACAGAGAGCCTACTGATAATAAAATGAGTGTATGTAACAATCATCATGGAAGGAATAGGACATACTTAAGATTTCAAGTCTCCCAGAGACAGGATCAAAACACCTGACCAAAAGAGTGATAACTCCTTGCTCCAGGCTCTGTGGCACTGTTATTTTCTCTTTTGCATTCATGCAGTAAAAATTTTAAACAAGGCTGGCCCCAACATGGAAAGGTAGACATTTGGTCAGTCATTCAACAAACAGCTGCTTTGTTCAGAGGTTTTCTAGGTGCTAAGGACAAAGCGGTACACAAAACATATTCTGCTTTCTTGCAGCTTATATTTTAGTAGAGAGAGACCACAAATATGTAAATAAAAATTGCATGTAGCGCTTTGAAGAAAAATTAGAAAGGGTGAGAAAATGGCCGAGTGGAAGCTTCTTTAGTTAGAATGGCCTCTCTGAACAGCGAAGGTTTGTGCTAAGAAGAAAACCAGGAGAAGGAAGCACCCCAGCAAAAATCCAGGGAGGAAGCACTAGAGGTAGAGAGAGAAAGGCAAAGGCCCCCGCCGGCACGAGCCCAGCCAGGGCTGCTGGTGTGGGTGAGGCTCAGTGAGCGGAAGGTCAGGCAGGCAGGCGTAGAATCATGAGGAGCTCTGACACCAGGTAAGGATTGGGGGTTTTCTTTTGACTGTCATAGGAGACTGCAGGAGAGATTTATGAAGAGTAACATGATCTGAGCTGCATTTTAAAAAGATGGCTGCTCTCTGGGAGCGGGGGGAGGGAAGGAGTAAGAGAGAGGAAGGAATAAAAGCAGTGGTGGCAGCTCGAAGACTTCCATAGTTCAGTCAGGAGACACTGGTGGCTTGAGCTACGGTGAAGGGGGGGGATGTACAAAAACAGAAAAGACTCTATCTGAATACCTTTGGGTATTTCAGAATTGTCCTCTATCAAAAATAGTAATACTTCATGATCCTTTTAATTTCTCGTTCCTTAGGAAAATTTTATAACATAGGCGATCAGAGAGGCCATGGAGAAGACCACTGCCAGTTTGTGGACTCGTTTTTAGATGGACGCACAGGACAGCAACTCAGTTCTGACCAGTTACCCACCAAAGAAGGTATGTTTTCTGAGCCTCCTCTTAAGCAAGAGGATTTTACAAATTAACACAGAGAGAATTCAAGCTAAGGAAAACAATCACTTTAAAAATAATTCTGCAGTACTACTGCTCTAATTATCTGACTAGAAAAAAAGACTTTCATGTTAAGACCTTAATAGAAGTGTTTCAACTTTCCTCCCAGTCCTTAAGACTCTATTTTAGAGCTAAGGGAAATTACACACAGACATCTATAAAGACATTCTACTTCAGGAACACTTCAGTTTGCAAAAACAGCTATAGAAGAGTAGTGTTTCCCAACCTTAAATCACTCCTGTATTACCTTATAGTTATACAGAGCACACAGGCATTTTTTTATTCCCTTATTATTTGCCACATAAATATAATTGAAACTGAACAATTCTGGTAATGAATAACCACTGTAACTTGCTAAAGACATATTAAGCTGCTCCATGAGGACTTAAAAGACTGAAATTTAATCCTTAGGCAGGGCAGGAGAGAGTAAATTAATGTCCGTATTACTCAGCAGTCACTAAGAGGTTTCTGCATTATTGGACTCGTCTTTTCAGCAACACATTCTGTTCAATGGCATTTAAGTCCTCTTTTACTGTGGTTGGTGTTTTTATCTGTGAACCCATTAACAGGAAGTTGCAACTGCTCCCTCTCAGGAATGGGATATAAAACATACTGTAAATTGTGTATATTGCCAAAACATTTTACATTCGCAGCAAAAATTTTAATCATTTAGTGTAGAGTCCTTGAAGGAAGATTTCAGCTAAGTTTAATTTTTAGAAATTTAGCGTTCTTAGAACTACCCTTCTTTTGTTTCCTAACACTGTAGTAAATAGCACCTTCATAGACCACGACCAGTCCGTACCGCGCAGAGACTATACTGAACATGCTCAATCACACTCGAAACACAAAACCCCTCCGACTCTGCCCCTCTTCGGCTTTGTCTCTCAGACACTACCAACCGGCTCATCCCACCTTGTTAAAGCACAGGTCAGAGGAGTTTCAGGTGCCCCTCATGTTTAGCCAGCCATTACGACCTCAGGGAAGACACCAGGCTCTCTGTTGCTATCCGTTTTCTAAAACACTTCACCTAGAGTAACATTTAGCCATTTAAGGACACCCTTCAATCTGTGAGTGGTGAGGGCAAAAATACAGCAGCTATTAAAATAAAATTATTTTCCTTCTTAGGCTATTTCAGAGCAGTTCGTCAGGAACCTGTCCAATTTGGAGAAATAGGTGGTCACACCCAAATCAATTATGTCCAGTGGTATGAATGTGGGACCACAATTCCTGGAAAATGGTAGATGCTGCAATCAGGATCAAAAGTGCCTTCTGTTTATCATGGCAAAAAAAATAATTGGAAACACTATAGTATTTGTCACATTCATTTAAAGCTATTATGTTTACTATGTATTAAAGTTTAATAGCCATAGTAGATGTTTATTAGAAATGTTGCTGAGAATATTTATCAGGTTTTACAAAATCATTTTAAGAAAACAAGATATTGACATTAACAGGATAACATTTTTAGGGAAGCTGGCTCCCTATCCATGGTATTTTAAGAGATCATTTGTATATTATTTATCACTCTGTTGTAATGATGTTTTGAGATACTTTTATAACAAATTTAACATCAAAAACTAATATACTTTAAAAAAAATATTTACTTTTATTAAAGTGTATTCTTCTTACTGATGAGTTAATTCCATAAATCTCAACTTGGTTTAACTTATTAGATCAAATTATCTGAGCATTTGTATCTGGGGGAAAAAAGGTCCTAATAAATATTCATGTTTATTTAAACTTCAAATTTTTAGCCATAGCTAAATAGCTTTTCTGAAGCATTTCAATAGTTAACCATTCATGCCGATATACATTTCCTTAAATCTCTGCAAATTACTGAAAACTGTTTGAATCATTAAATTTGATTTTAGCTGCAAACTGAATAGAATATCTGATCTACTCAATTTCAAAATACACATTTTGTTCTTTCTCTACCCGTAAATATGTTACAATGTCTGAATGTACTTTGTCAAACCATCCCTTTAAGCAGGGATTTGTCTTCATACTGTTGTTAATAGAATTCTAATGAAGCTGTACGTAGAGACTGAATGTGAAGCCTGAGCACAAAAGTAATGCATGACATCCCTACCACTTTACAGGTTATGTACTCTGTTTTTAGACCTCTAGGAATGAATGTATCAGAGAATGTTTTCGTAATTTTGTCTAACTCAACCTGTAATGAAAATCTCATTTATTTTTAAAAAGAGTCCTTCATTTGCGGAGGGACATGGGAATGGTGCATTGTTGCCCTCTTTCTGAAAGGACCTTGCCTCTGCTTCAACATGCTTCAAGTTTATCGATGCTACATTTTGTATTTTTCAAGTATAAACTCTGCAATAAAGAGATGTAGTTTTTTTAAGACTGAGTTCTTCATTTCTGAATGATTCATCTCTATAAGTTATTCAGGATCTACCCAACCCCCCCCATATCTGTTGTGTTTATATGTTCTTTGTCTTCCTCTGAAATCTATTTTAAAGAAGTTTCATTGTTTTAAGCCAATGATTATTAAATGCATTTCTTTCAAAGGCAGGACAAAAAAATCAAATGGCACCGTGTTTCTTGGAACAGAACACTGTAAGTTAAAACGCCTATACTTCATTTTGAGACCAAAGAGCAAAAAGAATTTTTTTTCTCATGTAATTTAGTCGTTAACATATACAAGACCACTAATGGATTCAATTATCTTTATTAACCTATCAATGTTACATTTTATACATAATACCTAGTTGTCTTCTCAAAGGGATCTATATTTTAGTACATCATGTTAATAATAAAAAGCCAAGTTAAGATGGCTAAACTTCAACCTAGCGTTTTAATATCCTCTGGACAAGGCAAGCTAGAAAGTCAATCACTTTACGCACATCAGAGTAGTGTTCCAAAATAACTAGGCAGCTGCTACACTTTTAAGCAAGGGAAGAAAAAAACTTTCATTTTGATCTTTTTGTGTTCCAGCAAATTATACTTTCAATTAACAGCAACAATAGATCATAAAAAATGCTCTGCTTTTTAAATTTCTGAACTTCAATACAAATTAAAATAGTAGTACTGGAGTCTTTTGGGAGGCAAACCGCTATCAGCTACATTCATCAGTGTAGCTGAGCCTCTTTATCGATAACCAGGTCCAGGTTGGGTATAGCCCTGACCAAAGGGAGGGCGGGTGCGCGCATAGGGGTTAGGCCCACTAGGAGGTGGGGTCATAGTACTTCCAGGAGGTGGAGTAAAACCTGGTCTCGGCTGATAGGCCCCGGGTTGGCTTGGAGCCATTCCGGGTTGAGAGGCAGGGGCCACAGTATAACTGGTAGGCTGAGAAGTTTGGGTAGTGTAAGTCTGTGGAGGGTAACTGCTCGCCTGGTACTGCTGTGGTGGTTGAGCAGGCAGCTGTTGAGGCTGGCCAGCAAAGGCAGGAGCCGGCGCCTGGGAAGCTGGCTGCTGGCCATATCCCTGGAACTGCTGAGGTTGTTGGGGTCCAGTCTGCTGACTATAGCCTGCTGAAAAGGCAAAATAAAGTACACATAGATCTTATTTTTCTTTTGGTGAAAGGCTTTCCAGAGAATCAGTCTTACTGTTATGGACCAAAAAAGATGAGAAATTTAAACTTATTCCTAAGTATTTATATAACACGTAGAGTAGTATAGTCCATCCTATAATATCACTTCAAAACCAAATAGTATCAAAAAAAGATATTTTCTAAACTGAAACCACGCTGTATTTCATTACAAATGCTTCTACACTACATAATCCCTAAGAGCAAATACCTGTTGTAGCATAATTCCTAGTACAGAACAGATGCTCAAATGATAAATGCAGGAATTAACGTAAAGCTAGTCATTAACCTGGTGTGGAGGAGAGGCCTACTTAACAACTGTACCAAGTAAAAACACATTGAGACAGTATTTTTAAACGAAGCAATGGTGCTACAAATACATCGTACTGTGCTAATGAGATGCTTTAAGGCTCGCTCACTTTCTATAAAAACTAAGCCATTTAAGAATAAACATTAGGTACCCATTTTCACAATCCTTAAAATCTTTTAGATTCGGTATCTGATCTTCTGCCTTTACAACTCAGAATTCTGACTTAGAAGTAACAGCATAACACATAAAAAGCATATGATATTGCCCCACAATATCAACATCTACATTCATTATTAACGAGGATTTTTTTTTTCAATTTTTTTAAAAGAACAAGTCGGCTTCACTGAAAACTTTTATCTCTACCATGAAACACACCTGCAGCTACTTGCAATGAAACCTCTCCAATGACTGGAATCCTGTCAGCATTAAATACCAGATACATAAGAAAATAATTAAAATATGTACAACCCTGCATTTAAAAAACAAAAAAAAAGGATTGAATGAATTTGAGTATATTCTGAACTCACCTTGAACCTGGGTTCAAAATTTACTCATGAAAGAAACCTTTTTGACATAGTCCATGAGTAAAACTGGAAAAGGTCAGAGGGAAACTGCCAAACCAACAGTGTCAAAAATGGTCCAATGTTACCACCACCACTTACAGTCTCCAAGCAGAGTATTTAGTTGACTATTTCCACATCTCCCAATCAAATTCAAGTTAATTGGACTAGTGGGATCAGAAATACAAAGATGATGATTTGAAAACTAAATTTTACTCGAGTGAACACTCTGACTAAAATCATTAAGAACAAGCTTAACTTTTAATAAGTAAATCAAGTATCTAAGGCATTTTACTTATGGTAGCATCCAAATACTGAAGTCAATTCATGATAAAATCTTGAATGTCATACAACTTCTCCTATCTTCTACATAAAATTTATTTGCTTAATTTTTTTACTGTAAGTTTTTGGAGAAACAGAAGAACTCAGCTTTTACAATGAAAATGTCTATACAAGTTAAGACTATGAGCAAAATACTCCTGCCTTTTCATCCTGGCAGCTGAAATCTAGACTGGATTTTTAACTGAGTCTGGGAACAACCAGATCCTTAATTATTTCTCAACAGAGGGAATAACTCTTATGGGCCTAATGCCATTTCATTAGCAACCTATTAGTCTTTGATCATAATGTGGCAATGCTTCTATTATGTGTATAGCCCCACCCTCTCCGTTGAAACTCTTGGTGAAGAACAACAAAAATCTCAAGAAATGGAAATCACGGGGTTTTTTAAAAAATTACTGAGTATTGTAGGACAAGGGATCATTATGATCCACAAAGTCTAAAATATTTACTATCTAGCCTTTTATGGCAGATAAGTCTGCTACCACTGGCCTAGGCTGGAGAATGCAGAATGATATAAATAATTAACAGCAAAATCAAGTACACTGGCTCTGAGTTCCCCCACTGAATGGCTGTGTGTCCTTCCATGTGTCACAACCTCTTTGAACCCTAACTGCCTCATTTATAAAATGAGCGGGTGAGACAAGGACAAATGGTTTCCAACCCTGCCTGCACTTTAGAATGACCTGCAATGCTTTTAAAATATCAAAGCCTGAGTCCCACTCCTAACCAAATCAAACAAAATATCTGGGAGTAGAGCCTAAGCACCTGTAACTTTCAAAAAAAAAAAAAAAAGCTCTCCAGGTGATTCTGAAGCACAGAGGGAGTTGAAATCCCCTGGATTAGAATGATGACTAGGTCTTTTCAGATCTGATATTATTTCGACAAATTATATAATCTATAACACCCTGACTTTAAAGGACTGCAAACCTAAAATAATCCTAATATCATAATCCAAGCTTAAACTCTTCCCATTTACTTTACATAATTAAAAATTAGCAGCTATCGGCTAAATCACTCTATAGCAAATATAATCCAAATAAAAATTGCTATATGAGTTAAAGTATGTCAAAACTCTAATTAAAGATAGACTTTTATGGTCTAGTGCAGGAGTCACAACCTACTTTTTTCTGTGACCAGCCTGAGAGTAAATATTCTAGGTTTTGTGGGCCAGTCTCTGCTGCAACTACTCAGCTCCGCCACGACAGAGCGACAGACAGCATAAGAATGAACAGGTATAGATGTGTTCCAATAAAACTTAATTCACAAAAACTGGTGACGTGCCACATTTGGCCCGTGGCTACAGTTTGCTAATTCCTGCTCCAGTTGAACTATAAAACTCCGTAAAATAAAATTCTGGCAAGATTCAACTTAGATAAATTATTTTTAATTACATGAACTTTTGATACTTAAATCTTTGGCTGTGAAACATTAAGTTAAACGTAAACTCTCGGATATAACAAATGTAAAATTACGTGATTTATAATCATCATGGTCAAAGCTACACTAGAGAGATTTCATATTTAAATATGGATAATCTTCAGTGGACAGAAGGTAAAAAAAATACCCAGAATGCCTATTTAAAACAACTATATTCAACATTCTTAGCTGCCTAGATTACATTTGACACAATTCTATTTTTTTTACCTGTTTTTGGTATTCCTACATACTCTGGGAGATTTAAAAACCTAAGTAGCTTAATTTGGTTCTTATTAAGATTGCCTTTTCATGTAAGAGGAAAATGTTAATATTCTTACAGTACACTAGAATTATATGTGACATATAATGGGCGAAAAGCATTTTTGCTGTTCTAAATCACCTGAGAGATAAGGAGATCTTATCAGTACGAGATAGCTTGAGTTAAAAATGTTTTCAAACTACAAGTTATTACAAAAGCATCTATGACTGCTGACCGAAACGCTGATTTATAATAAAATATTCATGCAAAATATTTAAAAATAAATGTTATTTCCTCCCACAAATAAATACTTAACACCTCCTATGACAATGTAAGTATTACAAACCCAGGAGTTAAGAGGAAAGGCTTCAACTTTAATGAGTACAGGAACAGCTCCCAATCAGAGTCACCTCCCTCTGGACACGCGCTCACCTGAATACTGGATACCGTACTGCTGGGGCGGCTGGGGCGGCTGCTGAGCACCATAGCCGGCCTGCTGCGGGTACTGCTGGTACATCTGCCCTAAAAAAGACAAGACAAGGAAAAGAGGCAGGTTTAATTTGGCAGAGAGAAACGCTTTCAAAGCACGTTTAATTCTCTCCCCACCCAAACACGTAAGGACACTTAGTAACAAGACACAAGAATGTGTTTGCTCCCCTTTAAGTGCTGCGAAATAGAGAAGCATGAACAACTGAACAAATGTAGCTGCTCTGCTGTGGATTAGCGGCAGAGAACTCTCAGCTGCAGCAAACACTAGTGCGGTCACTTCATAAATTCTAGAAAAACAAAGGCTTTCGAACCCAACTGCCAACAGATAGGTACTGCTAATGCTCAGTAAAAATCAACCGAGTCAAAAATCAAGAAATAAAAATCTGAGAAAAGAAACAAATACAACTGACAGCTCCTAAATCTCTCCCAAAGCACTGTA